ACGGAGGAACCTCTTCATAACTCTTGAGGTCGTAGATCGACCTTCGGGCGAATTAATTAAGCATTCAAATTCTCAATGTTTTCGAAAGCCTAAGCGAAGCTGGGCAGCATGCCTAGTTATTTATAATACTAATAGTTTCGCTGTCTGTCTTTGTATTTATCTGACAAGAGCGCTAAAGACAAAACACAAGCAAAATAAAAACTTTCAAAGTAAAGAGAAAACGAAACATGACGTCACATTGAGCATATTGTAGGAAATAGTCGAAAGCCGGGAGAGTGCACACAATAATATGACGTCATTGATTCTCGAGTAAACATTGAATTAAAAAAGCATTTTTTTTTTCTAATCTTAAAAGTGGTTAGCCAGAAGTTTCTTTCATATAATTCTTCGTGTAGGGGTGAAGCCCCACCCCCGCGTAAGAACGTCTAAGCCCCCCCTCCCCCAACTCAAAAGAAATGTCGTCATCGATACTCTAAAATAAAATTATCGCCTAATTCATGTGTCTAATCTAAAAAGTGGTTTGCTTACAGAGTTTCTTTAATGCAACTCTTCGGGTAGGGGTGAGGTTTATCGGCCAAAAGTAGGAAACCAGGTCTAAATTATAGAAGTAGGCTTTACCTTTAGTCTGTATGATCAACAAATACGATCAGTGTTTCTTTCGGACTTTTCCCTCCCTGAGTGGGGGGGGGGGTACGTGACTTTTCGGGGGTGCGTGTGGACTAAATTTTGTGGTTACTGAATATTTTCTATATAAATTATATTTCGTTGAATGGGGCGGTAGATGTGCTTTGAGGTGTGTGTGTGTGGGGGGGGGGGGAGTAGAGTCGCCTAAAAGAAACTCTAAATGCGACTTTTGTCATAATTGAGATTAGTTGCAAGGTTTAGGAGTATGGCTACAACTATATTTAGTATCAATGAGCAGTAACTACGTGGAGATTAAGCTTAAATCCTATTAAAGTACCAATTCTGGATAAAAATCCGTTTTTTACTGTTATATTTCGTTTCCGGTTAAATTGAATGAAGGTGGTGATTTTGGTTTTGGTTTTAGTTTAGCGCCTGTTGTATTTCCTCAACGGGCCATTTTTCTCGTCTATACTAATAGTTTCGCTGTCTGTCTATGTATGTATCTATCTATCTATGTATGTATCTGACAAGAAAGCTATAGAGAAAACACAAGCAAAATAAAAACTTTCATAGTAAAACGAAAACGAAACATGACGTCACATTGAGCACATAGTAGGAAATAGTCTAAAGCCGGGAGAGTGCACACAATAATATGACGTCATTGATTTTTGAGTAAACATTGAATATTAAAAAGCCAATGTTGTCTAATCTTAAAGGTTGTTTGCGTGAAATTACTCAAGGCAGAAAAGTAGATCGAAATTTCACATATTAGTAGGCCTATATGTGAAATTTCGTTCATCTATCTGAAACGGTACTCAAGTCATGCTTTTGATAAATTGAAAGTAGAATAGTTCCACTTCCGATTACCGGAAATCGCTGAAAAGTTGATACAGACCTACAAATTCGATATACTTATATCATCAAACTGTAAAAGTACTCAAGTTATTGTGTTTACGCACACAGACATACTGACAAGATTGCAAAAATATGTTTTTCCGACTCAGGGTGTAAAACGTCAAGATTTGCAAAAGCAAAAATCTCGATTTTTTTTTTTTTTTTTGCACGATTACAATATTTTTTTCTATACTTTGTATACCAGAAATTTAAAAAGTTAGAATATAAATTTTTCTTAAGCAAAAAAAAAGTATTTTTTAAAAATACCAATGACCCAAGTCCTTTTGAAAGGTAGAAATAATTTGTATATAATATAGAAAATCCACCTGCCCAGCCAAACCAGATGCACATACACCAACACATGTACAAGCGTGCGCTTGCATGTGAAGATGCACATGCACCTGCATAAGCAGATGCAAATGCACCAACACATGTACAAGCGCGCGCTTGCATGCGAAGATGCACATGCACCTGCATAAGCAGATGCACATGCACCAACACATGTACAAGCGCGCGCTTGCATGCGAAGATGCACATGCACCTGCATAAGCAGATGCACATGCACCAACACATGTACAAGCGCGCGCTTGCATGCGAAGATGCACATGCACCTGCATAAGCAGATGCACATGCACCAACACATGTACAAGCGCGCGTTTGCATGCGAAGATGCACATGCACCTGCATAAGCAGATGCACATGCACCAACACATGTACAAGCGCGCGCTTGCATGCGAAGATGCACATGCACCTGCATAAGCAGATGCACATGCACCAACACATGTACAAGCGCGCGCTTGCATGTAAAGATGCACATGCACCTGCTTTACCTAGATGTATTCTCGACGTTGGCGCTCAAAACATTTATCCATTTTGCGCGGACGTTAGAGGAAGCAATACCAGAAGTTCAAATTAGCTAAAATTAACAGGGAGTGATCTCCCCTTAACTTTCTCGAATATTCTTATATAACACGACGGGCGATGACAACTCGGGATACAGACAATATTTTAAACCATTTTTAATTACTTAAACTTTTTAAAATAGAATAAAATATCGTAGAAAAAAAGAATTGCACACTAAGTGAACGCCAAATAAAATTTGCATTATAGTGCGTGAAATTACTTTATAAATTCACATGCGTTTTTTTTTAGAAATCGGAAATAGTGTAAATTACTACTTTCGGTGTACGGAAATCACTCAAAATTTTATAGAAGGCGGAGAAGTATATCTTTTACTTGTATGTGAAATTTCATTTATCTATCTAAGAAAGTACTAAAGTTATAGGCTTTTGAAAAATTCAAAGTAGAAAAAGATCCACTTTCGGTAATCGGAAATTGCTGAAAAGTTGATACTGTACTACAAATTTGATATAATACTTCTATATGAAATTTCATCAACCTAGCTGTAACGGTACTCAAGTTATCGTGACTACAGACACACATTCACTCATCTACACATACGGACAGAATTGTAAAGTCCGGTTTTTCCGACTCGATTACGCATAAAACGCCGAAATTTTAATAAATCTGGATTTAGATTTTTTGCCCGATTAAAAAAGTCACCTATACTCCGTTTATGATGAAGTACTGAAAGGCCCAACGTTGGAAACTGTCAAAATTTCATGTGATTTTTGTGCACGATTGCAATACTTTCTCTATACTCTGTGTTCGAGAAAGTAAATAAATCGAAAGTGATCTCCCCTAAACTTTCTCGAATATTCTTATACGAGAAAAACTAAACTAAAACCAAAACACAAATCACCACCTTAATTAAATTTAACCGGAAACGAAAAATGACATTGAAAACGGATTTTTATCCAGGATTGTCATTTTTATCGCATTTAAGCTTCATCTACACGTAGTTATCGCGCATTTATGCTAAATATGCTAAATATATTTAATATAGTCGTTGCCATACCTCTAAACCATGCACCTAATCTCAATCATGACAAAAGTCGCATTTAGAGTTTCTTTCAGGCAACTCTACTTGGGAGGGGGCGGGGGGGGGGGGGGGTGCTGTCGTCCCCCCCCCCCCCCACACACACACACCAAAGCACCTCTACCGTCCCATTCAACGATATATAATTATATACTTTTTCCAGTCCGTCTCCTCACAGAAAATTCCACCCCGCCCCCGAAAATTTCAAGCACCCCCACCCCTTTCCGGGGAGGAAAAAGTCTGAAAGAAACACTGGTCGTATTTGTAAAAAAAAAATTTGTAAACTAAAGATAGAGCCTAGTTCTATAATTTAAACTCGTTACATCGTTTTCTAATTTTGGCCGATAAACCTCACTTTCGCAGACAGTGTTTCTTTCAGATATTTTTCTGGGGGTGGGCACTTGAATTTTTGCAGAGGCGAATAAAATTATCCGGGGCAGGGGAGGACGACACTGGTAAAAGTAAAATATATTTTCTATATCAATTATATTTCGTTTTTTAGCGGGAGGGATTAGACGTTCGACCGCGGGGGATGGGCTTTGCCCCTACCCGAAGAATTTTATGAAAGAAACTCTTTACGCAAACCACTTTTAAGATTAGACAACAATATTGGCTTTTTAATTCAATGTTTATTCAAAAATCAATGATGTCATATTATTGTGTGCACTCTCCCGGCTGTAGACTATTTTCTACTGTATGCTCCACACATTTACACACACACAAACTACAGACATTGATGAGGTGTGAGCCAGGGGCGCCCACACAATTTAGACCCCCCAACACACTTATACACACACAAACTACACACACTGATGAGGTGTGAGCTAGGGGCGCCCACACAATAGACACCCCACACACACAAACTACAGACACTGATGAGGTGTGAGCTAGGGGCGCCCACACAATAGACACCCCACACACACACACAAACTACAGACACTGATGAGGTGCGAGCCAGGGGAGCCCACACAATAGACCCCCTTCCTCACACACACACATACAAACACATGGACACACACGTTACCTCGTTCATTTTGTAAACAAATAGGCCCTACAGTACATAAATCAACACAGTTGTTTAGAACTTGAGCTGATTAACTTCTCTTTTTCCCATTTGCAAAAAAAAAAAAAAAAAAAAAAAAAAAAAAAAAAAAAAAAAAAAAAAGTGACTTCCCTTTGAGTGACTAGTCTTGTCTGACGGAGCCGATGTAAACTTATTGCTGGGTGTCTTGCACACCTCCCCAAAACACAGTTCATCAAATAACGCCTTCACTCGCACACATTGATAAACACAGGCGTGTGTGTTATTTAGAGAAACACTACCATTTAGAGCCACGGTTCAGTTAGTCACATGGCTTTAGTGTTGTGAATTTTTGTTTTAAAATAAACTTTGTGTACACGGTTGGTAGGGGGGGGGGGAGTCAGTATTTATTGTAAGGGATGGGGGTGCTAGGTGTTAAGTAGAAGCTTGAGAAGGGAGATTCAGTGAGGGTATTAGATGTGAAACTCTAAGTGTGTAAACAGAAGCGCGTTGCCCACCAACAATACCCTTCACAAACGTGTGTAAGAATGTTCAAGTCTTGACTCCATTTGTGTGTGACAGACCAGTGCCCAGAGTACCGGGTTATTTGTTGTTGTTTTTTTATTACAAATGCATCAAGTCGAGCCGTGCGTCGATACAAATTTTGTATGTAAAAACTTATTCTGGTGTCAGTTGTATTTGTGTAAACCTACCTTGTCAGTGGTCTGTGTAAACCTACCTTGTGTCAGTGGTCTGTGTAAACCTACCTTGTCAGTGGTCTGTGTAAACCTACCTTGTCAGTGGTCTGTGTAAACCTACCTTATGTCAGTGGTCTGTGTAAACCTACCTTGTGTCAGTGGTCTGTGTAAACCTACCTTGTCAGTGGTCTGTGTAAACCTACCTTGTGTCAGTGGTCTGTGTAAACCTACCTTGTCAGTGGTCTGTGTAAACCTACCTTGTGTCAGTGGTCTGTGTAAACCTACCTTGTGTCAGTGGTCTGTGTAAACCTACCTTGTCAGTGGTCTGTGTAAACCTACCTTGTGTCAGTGGTCTGTGTAAACCTACCTTGTCAGTGGTCTGTGTAAACCTACCTTGTCAGTGGTCTGTGTAAACCTACCTTATGTCAGTGGTCTGTGTAAACCTACCTTGTCAGTGGTCTGTGTAAACCTACCTTGTCAGTGGTCTGTGTAAACCTACCTTATGTCAGTGGTCTGTGTAAACCTACCTTGTGTCAGTGGTCTGTGTAAAACTGCCTTGTCAGTGGTCTGTGTAAACCTACCTTGTGTCAGTGGTCTGTGTAAACCTACCTTGTGTCAGTGGTCTGTGTAAACCTACCTTGTGTCAGTGGTCTGTGTAAACCTACCTTGTGTCAATATAGCATACGATGTTGTGTTAAGTTAAAACATGTTAGCCATATCAAAACTTAACCTGGGTGTTGACTTTTTCAGAATATCTGCCAGTACCTGGATCATCTCTGCATACTCCTGGATCATTTCTTCCTGCACGTGGATAATCTCTGCCAGCTGGTACAAGACCTCAGCCAGCCCCAGTACCGCAACAGTGAGCAGGTAGCTCACCTGTGTCAACACCTGAATAATCTCTGCCCTCGCCTGGTTAATCTCTCGCATCATCTGCGTAATCTCTTCCGGCAGGTGGGGACTCGCTGCCAGCACTTGGACAACTTCTGCCAGCACCTGGATAATTTCTTTGAACATCTGGATAATCTCTGCCGACACCTGGATCATTTCCTCTAGCACCGGATATCTTTTAGGCTAATACCTGGGACATCTCTATAAGTACCTGGATAATATTTGCCAGCACCTGGATCATTTCCTTTAGCACCGGATATCTTTCAGGATAATACCTGGGACATCTCTACCTGGATAATCTCTCACCTGTGTTTTACCTGTCACCTGAAATGGTACTTTATTAGAGATAGTGTTTTCTAGTAAATTTAAAGTCTGTCTTAGACATCACAGCCTAGAACTGTTCCAGCTTTCTATTTGTGCTAGCAGCCATATCATCACAGCTGTAGGCTTAGTGCAGACATTTGAACACATTTACAACAACAACGATAGTTTAATATTCTTGTATGTGGAGGAAATAATGTCACCATACACACAACTAATGATGTCCATACACACACGCAACTACTAATTTCACACATGGCTACTGATCACACACGGTACATATAGAGCCATATATATATATATATATATATATATATATATATATATATATATATATATATATATATATATATATATATATATACATGTGTGTGTGTGTGTGTGTGTGAACTGAGCTCAAGTACCTTACTTAGAAACCCCTAAGCAGAATGTCACTACTTTTAACACCCATACTTTATCCCCCAGTAGTTTGAAACGCATTATTTTTCTACAAACTTTAACTTAGGCCTAACCAGCACAACCACATATGTCTATCAACACACATAGGGGGGGTTCATCCGTAAATGACGTCACGCTTTATTTGACGATTGTTACCTCCCCACCCTCTTTCCCCTCTATCACACATCGCAACACTTAGCTAGAACCCTAACCCCCCCCCCCCCCCCTGAAAATGACGACACTCCTCAGCCTAACCCCCCCCCCCCCTCCCCTCATAATTGCAGTTGAATTTTTTTTTTAAAGATCGGTATTTTTCGAAAATCTTGTCTGAACCATGTCAACATAGAGAATTTTAATCAAGTACTATTGACATTTATATAAGTTTTCTAAAACGCGAAATAACTGTCTATTTATTAATTATAAATTTTAAAAGTTATTTATTTGGCGAAGAATCTGTTTTTTATGCCACGTTCATCAAATTTACATTGCAACCATCAGCCTATAAATCTTCAACTCTAACAGAATTAAAATAAAAAATTCTAAAACTGCGAAACATTTATAATCTAACAGAGCTCATTTAAAAATAATTTTAAGAAAAGCCTTAATTGAGGGAAGTCACTCTGAGAATTTGGTTTTTGTATATCGCACTGGTAGGCCTATAACTATAATTGATAATTTAGTAGTAATAGTAGTAGATCTATTAGTGATTTAGTAAGTTGATATTGTTTTTTTTTGTTTTTAATCTCTATCACAATAATACATGCCTGAAAATTTCAAAATAGGCTATAATTAATTTAGTGAGAATTATTAGGCAAATAAAATTATTGGTAATCTATCGTTTTGGGTAGGCCTACGTAAAATCGCCCGCGGCTATTAATGTACGAAAACGTTACCTCATTGTCAAGGCTGTAATAGAAGTATATTGTGATATGTTTGTGTCAAATATTATAGATAAATGAATAATAAACCTAAATCAATGGCTAAATATATCAATATAGGCCCGAAATTAACTTTAAACAGCAGTGTCTGCAAGCAAGATTTGAGTATATAAACAGCAGTCATTTGTAAAATAGAGTGACTTCCGCCTGAATCTTGCGCTATAAGTCTATAAAAATAAAACTTTAACAAGATGACTGCTATAGTAAATGAGCATGGTTGCATCTGTTGGAAACATCGCTGGTGTTCATTTATTACTGAAAAGTTTTAATTCAATTGTTTAGAAACAGGTACATAAATGAAACAAGGAAACATTTTTGTATTTTTCAAAACATAAATCCTCCTCAAAATGTGAAATAATTATTAAAATGTAAGGAGTCACCTGTTTTTCACATTACTAGTCGCGGGCGATTTTACGTACCTAAAACGATAGATTACCAAATTATTTTAAATTAGGCCCTACTACTACTCTTAGTCTTAGGCCCTTAGGCCTAGAGGCGACTTAGGCAGTCTTAGGCCCTAGCCCTAAGTTAGCTCAGTACTGAGTACTGTACTTTTTCTTTTTGCCTGCCTAGTCTTCTACTACTAGATATTTGATATTAGATATAGATCTACTACTAGACTATTACTAGATGATTCTAGTCTAGTAGTAAGTGAACAAACTACTAGATCTAACTACTAAACTAGTGAGTGAGTGACTTAATTTTCACTTAAAATTACTTAGTTTAGTCTGCCTATGGCTTATGCCCACGCCTAGGACTAGATATAGAATATAGATCTAGGCCTATTATTACAGGCCGTATGTCTTACTTATTAAATAAAATTAAAAGTTATACCCTAGTTAAAAAATACGAAGTGACTCAAAAAAAGATTCTTCTAGAGAAGATATGAAACTTAATAGTTCTGCGTATGCGCAATGACCTTAATAGCTGCACTAGGGATAGAGATAGTTTTAGGACTGTTAGGATTCTCCTGTTTGTTTGTGAACACACGCATGCGCAGTACCATAGAAAACATCACCGCAAACTAAGGCACTTGTTTCTCTCCATTAGGGTGTCGCCTAAGATTTTAAACTTCATTATTGTTCACGATGACTTTAAAAATTAAAAACTACACTTATTTACCTTTAATTTAATACCAATTTTATCCGATTTAATCGGTAGCCTAGACAATGGTTTAAGAAAAAAAAGCGTTTGTTTTTAAATGGTTACGATGGTAAGACCGATTTTCGGTGATGCAGTGGGTTAGTTTTTTAAGAAGTGTTTTTGTGACGCAATTGATCGTTCAGTGCTGTTCAGCAGAAATGTGTCGTTTGCTAGATTTCTCCCCATTCAAATACACGCCGGGCAAAATGAGCAGGCTTAGTTAGCTGTTGTCTAAATCAAGTTATTTTTTAAAGGTTTTATTTTAACCTGCATGAGTTTTAAAACATTAATGACATTAGTTTAATAGAAAACAAGTTATAATGTTTCTATAGTTTAAAACATTTGCAGTATGGTTAGAACAACATTAAATAAAGCAATTCTCATTTTGCTTACTTTTATTATGTTCTGCTAGATATTCTTAGTGATTAGATTTAAAAAATGTACAAATGGCAAATTAGCATCAAACACTAATCGTCCACTGTTAAAACTAGACAGGTATCGTTGATTAATGCGCAAAAATAATTTTAAGTATATATTTCTGAAATGACCATGAAACATTGTTAAAAAACGGAATCATGTTATCGTCGTTTTCGGCAGCCATAATTACCATGATTACAGTAAATAAAGTGGGTCAAGCGACAACCTACTCTCCATTGCACATGTGTATCTTTTTCTGGCTAGAATCTGCCTAAAAAATAAGTTTTACTGGGTTGTGTTACTGTGGTAGATCTAGTAAGTAATAAACTGATTCAAGCTTGAACATGTTAACTGTTACTGTTAAGTTTTATAATTAGGCCTAATTATTAATTGAAATCAAGTAAGTTGGTGAAGTAATTTTACAAAAGAAATGGACGATCAGACAACAACAAGAATAGGTTCAATGGTCTCAAATGTTTTACTAAATATTTTAAAATTCATGTGCGTGTTATTAAAATGCGGCCATCAGAGTGCACAAAAAAAAGTTAAAATTAAAATAAATTGAGGCTAAAAAAAAGGTTTGAAATATATTGTTTTAAGAAACAATGTTATAAAAGTTGCAACTTTTTGTCAGACATCACTAAAGGTTGTATGTATTTGATGCTTTTATAAAAAATACTGTACTCAGACTGTTGCTGGTAAATATTTTATGTGAAACTAAAAATAAACATAGTTATCACTTGTAATAGTTGTGTTAATGGTGTTGTTCTTAATTAGATTTCAGGACCAACATGGCTGATGGTGTGATGTGTGTCCCAGGTGAGAGCTTTATAAACACATGAGACTTGTCTATTTTGATCTATTAGTTTTTTTCTTCTTTTTAGTCTCTGTTTACTCATCAGGCATCCCATAAGCCAATAGATCAGTCCAAACAGAATCAAACAGAAAACAAACTGATATTTAAAGTGTTGTTTGTATTGTGTGCATTGTAGGTAGACCAAAATTCCTTGACAAATATAATGATTTATTTCTTCCTTTGTAAAAAAAAAAAAAATTTTCTAAGGGTAACATGGTAGCAGTAAGTAGCATGACAGTTTCTTTTGTACAACTGTTTTTTTTATTAGAGCTTTGTAGAGTCACAGTATTTAAATTCTAATGAGTTTAGGAATATGTTATTTTTCTTTTCAAGGAATGAAATATATTTTAAATGTAGATCAACATATAGCCTAATTTGTTACAGTATTGTTTCTTTGAAAAAGCATGACATTTTTTTTCAACATATAACTATGTACAATATTTCTATACTATGAAATTTAATAGAAACACTAGAAATTTATTTTCAGCATGAAAAAAAAAATATTCATTTTTAGATTTTCGGCTCTAAGTTGATATCAATTGTATGATTAGCCTAAACAACAGAAACCAACCTAAAAATTCATTAGTCACCTAACTTTATCATCTGTTTAGTCATATGCTACTTTGTCAATTCTCTTGCTAAACATAATTTCCTTGTCAAATATAGATAATAGTTTATTTCTTCCTTTTTTAAAAAAAAAACTGTTTCTTTTCATACAATTTAAAAAAAAAAGAAACTTTGAAATCAAAAGAATAGACTGTACTGCTATCACAAGTTTAAATAACTGTCTAGGTACCATTAAATAACTTTTAAAATAATATCTAGGCTTCTTGCTGATTGATTGTATTCATTGGTTTGTGTGGTTATTTTTACCCTTAAACCCGAGGCAATGTTGCGGTTTAAAACTGTGTGGCCCCACAGAACTGTGGAGTATGTGATTATCAATATGCATTATATTTCAGGTCAGAGGTTAAGTCGAGCAGAGGATTCTGTAGTGGCTGGCAGTGGAACATACAAGAGGAATGGTTTTATTTACGCCAGTGTAGTCGGATTTCTTGAAGAGACCACACAAGCGGACACTGGGGTACAATAAATAGATGGCTAAATCTAAAGCAGGGGTCTCCAAACTGCGGCCCGCGATGTCCTCTCATCCAGCCCGCGGAGATATTTTTGTCCACGGATAAAACGTTTGTTGTTGATGGCTGAGGAACTTTGCCCAGAAAAATCAAAAACATGCCTGAAAGAACCTGGCCCCCGAACTGAAATTTGATAGTTAATGCGGCCCTCAGACTGAAAAGTTTGGAGACCCCTGATCTAAAGAATCAGATTCGTTTCTATTAAATTAGTGGTATAGAGGGCTAAACGTTAAAAAAAATTGGCTTCCATTAGTTTTGCCATTGAAAGAGATGAAAATAAATTATTTGCGTATACCAACTTATAGAATAAAGGGTTAAAATACACATATTAGCTTCCTTAAATTAGTGAAAAATGTATGAAAATAAAGGGTGTGGTTGTATTTAAACAATTTACTCTAAATCACTAGTAAATGAGAGAGAACACAGAAATGTTCTAGTGCCTATAAAATCACTGTTTCTTGTTTCTGTTTAGCATAAAGTGATCAGTATAAATACAGAAGGACTACAGAATGTTATACCAGACATAGACGCTATTGTAACTGCCAGAGTAAGTGATTGGCTTTAAGTTTTAAAAATATTTTTATTGTCTAGTTAATTTTTTTTAAAACTGAATGTGTTTAAGTAAATAAAAATATTTTTATTGTCTAGTTAATTTTTTTGAAACTGAATGTGTTTAAGTGAATAAAAATGTTTATTACGAACAGTTGTTAAGATTCAAAGCATTGTTCTCTTTACATAGGTGACCAATGTTAACCCCAGATTCTGTAAATGTGATATCCTTAGTGTCGGTACCATCCAGTTGTCTGATGTTTACAGGGGGATGATCAGGTACATGTTTTCTTTAGATGGCCCTATTATTTGTAGAATTTATGTCAGATCCGATTTTGAATCAATATGTGTATTAATTAGATAAAATATACTATTATTAAATTATTATTGCCATTTTCATTGATGGTCATGGAAACAATGTATGCAACAATCTAATTAAAATATTTCTTGAATAAAGATTTCAGCTACTTAGATTTAAAATTAAATTCTAGATTACGATATGCTATTTTTTTTTAATAACTAAACCCAGAGTGATGAGTAGTTGTTCAATCTTCACTAATTTGAAGATTCATGGGAATAAAATGTTTCCAGTCAATACAAGTGGAGATTATTAAAAGCGGTTAAGTTTAAACTATTACACAACTTTTCATTTTCATTAAGTAAAAAATTAAGTACCCAACTAGTGACTTTAAAGCTATACATAGTAATGTTTACATTGAGTGTTATTTCAACTCCAAAGGTAGACATAGCTCTACCATATGACAAGAAAATTTCTTATTTTCTTCTTTCATATTATAAAAATTGTTTCAGTTTTTATTTTTTGAGCTCATTTAAAAATAATTTCTAAAATACCATACATCTAACTAACTGTCTGTAACACACAAGCAATAAAACTTAATGTTTGTGATTTTTACTGAGTACATCAGTAACAAATCTTAATGTTTGTGTTTTTGACGTAGGAAAGAAGATGTTAGAGCCACAGAGAAAGATAAAGTTGAGATGTACAAAAGTTTTCGGCCTGGTGATATCATCATAGCTCGTGTTGTATCCTTTATTCTCATATGGTATCATAGATAAGATTATTGTGGAATATTGTTCCACTTTTCATTGTTTTAAGGGCTGAAATCATTTTGGTTTACTCACTGCCTTGTGAAATATTTTAATGCTGGCCTGGTTAGATTTTTCTATCATTTTCTATCATTCTCATGTTTTTGCCACGTGAAAAAAAAATGTGTTTTCTTTCTTCATATGCTGAAATGTCTTCTTGATTGTAATCTCAGTTCTTTAAATAATTTTGTTCATGTAGTTTAAATGTATTTTCATGTCCAACTTAAAATTTACTAACATGTTAATTCAAGTTTTACTTCTAACATGAACTTTTTGTTATATAAATGTTCTTTTGACTGACCACAACATTCCTATACAAGATAAACAGATATCTTTGGGAGATTCACAGTCCTACATTTTAAGTACAGCAGAGAATGAACTTGGTGTGGCTATAGGACTGAGTGAAGCAGGTAGTGTTTACTTACTGTTTACATTTAAGGAACTTGGTGTGGCTATAGGACTGAGTGAAGCAGGTAGTGTTAACTTACTGTTGTGGCTATAGGACTGAGTGAAGCAGGTAGTGTTTACTTACTGTTGTGGCTATAGGACTGAGTGAAGCAGGTAGTGTTTACTTACTGTTTACATTTAAGGAACTTGGTGTGGCTATAGGACTGAGTGAAGCAGGTAGTGTTTACTTACTGTTGTGGCTATAGGACTGAGTGAAGCAGGTAGTGTTAACTTACTGTTGTGGCTATAGGACTGAGTGAAGCAGGTAGTGTTAACTTACTGTTGTGGCTATAGGACTGAGTGAAGCAGGTAGTGTTAACTTACTGTTGTGGCTATAGGACTGAGTGAAGCAGGTAGTGTTTACTTACTGTTGTGGCTATAGGACTGAGTGAAGCAGGTAGTGTTAACTTACTGTTGTGGCTATAGGACTGAGTGAAGCAGGTAGTGTTAACTTACTGTTTGCATTCAATGTGTAGCTGTTAATGTCAAGAAGCCATGTTGTATTTATCAGAGGGGGCGGTGAGTGCTGGTGGATGGGGCATTGTCAGGACCAGGGCAGTGGTGTCTTTGTGGGGAACTTTTTAAATTCAGTCTACAGAATTAAAACAATCAGCAATTGACAGTCAAGTCAGTTCTTGGCCACCAGAAATTTTGTCAAATTTGAACCATCCACAGTCAGCTGTCTGTGTAACATTCAACATCTCTTGTGTAGTACCTTGTATACTATATATGTACTATATATTTATGATACCTTTCATTACCCTGAAAATGAGCTAATGTATGACCAGTGCAAAAGTAGAAATAATACTTAATGTGCATATATACAAAAAAGACAGTATGCCCTTTATATAAATGCATGATATAAATTCAATATATATGTATTTTAATATATTTATATACATTTGATAGCTTCATATATACACTACCCTGAAAATCTTACTAAACCTCTGTTTACTTTGTAGAATCTAAGCAATTTCCTATACATATTTCCTACATATACTGTAAAGCTATTGAACGATATTTTGACTTGACCTCAGGTGTCAGGATGACCCCAGTCAGCTGGTGTAAGATGCAGTGTCCCAAGACTTTAACTGAAGAGTATCGTAAAGTGGCTAAAGTCCGGCCGGAGTTCATAAAAATTAAACATGAAAGCTAATGTTATCTTGTTGGGTTTTTGTATATTGTTTTTAAATCTATTTTAATATGACATTAAATACCAAATGTATTGTTCCTTGTTTTGTTGATTTTAGCAGTTAATTTTCCAAGTACTCATACAATCATAAATTTATGGAGCTATTTTTAACGCAAGGAAAACAAATATAAAGTTGTCTTTCAGCTGTTTACCTAACCAGTCCATAGGGCAAACATTAATTGGACTATTTTACAATAGCATTTGATATAGTTATGTGGGCCGCCACATTTGTTTATCCCTATTCAAGTCAGGTGAGCGTCAGAACAAGGTGGACTCAGAGACCCTCATTTGGAGGATCACATAGAAGTGAGAGTGGTTTTTTTTAAATATTTGTTTAAAGAGTTTACTTGTTGAGAACTGGTTGGTTGTCTAAACTTGGATTACAAATTTGGATTCCCTGAGTTTTGTAACTTCAGTGGATAATGGATAGCACAGTGGATTGATGGTTTTTGACACTCAACTATTAATTAAAGACTGAATGCTGCAGTATTAATTAAATCATGACAGTATAATGGTGGAGTTATAGTTAAAGGGTGGAGTATTAATTAAAGATATGAGTGGTGGAGCATTAATTAAATGGCAGAGCAATGGAGTATTAATTAAAATTAAAGGGTAGAGTGATGGCATACACCGTTGCTAACATAGTGTGACTTGGGACACTGTTGAGTCCCATCCACCAAGGTTGCGGCTCACACAGAGAGTTCCGACCAGGGGATGGAACTACCTTATCTTGTAGTGAGAAAGCTGATATGTTTAGCAGTTGCAGGAATCACCTTCCAGCCCTATGATTCACACCATCCTGCCCAGGACTTGCCTGTACAAACTGCTAGAGTTCTTTTACTATAGACCTTAAGACTATATCTAGTGTAGGAGTTAAATAGCTTATCTTCACAACAAAATAATGTCCCAGTTCAAATCCCTGCTCATGTTCGTACAAAAGTGAGGCGTTCATTCCACCAACAAGGTGAAGGACACACACTGTCAGTTTATTTGGAAAACCATGTACAAGTTGTCTGACTCTGTTAACTTCTCTCCCCTAAGAACAGAGATACATGAAGGTACAACATCTAGTTTAAACCAGTGATGATTTCATAGTTGGTCTGTGTTTTTGTTGTCTCCCCTGCTGGTATCTTGTCTCTTTGGGTGAGAAAACAACTACTTCTGACTTCCATTTTTAAGTATACTTCAACAATAATGTTTTATTCCCCCATAACTGTATTTTCTAAAAATATGATCATACTGTATAAAGTAGGTGCCTGAAATTAGTAAAATAATATTTCTCAATTTAGTTTGGTATTATGTTTATGTTCTGATAATAAGTTAACACCACAACAATGCAAGTATTATACTATAAAGCTGCTTTTTAATTATTAAAAAGACATAATTAGACTAAATATAAACATTCTAGCGCCTATCAGTCGGAAGGTTTTAGAGGCCGCCTATAGTCCAGCAAGCTCTGGTGTCGACAATTCCTTAAAGTAGCTAAAAATCCGTTGTAGTACATCTCACAGCTGACAACATTGTTGTCAAAATTACTCTCAGCAACCAGCATATCAGGGTTAACTTCCATCTGAAACAGACAGTATAGGGTTAACTTCCATCTGAAACAGACGGTATAGGGTTAAGTTGTATTTGTAGAAACAGTACAAGGTTAATTTCCATTTGCAACACACAGTATAGGGTTAACTTCCATCTGAAACAGACGGTATAGGGTTAAGTTGTATTTGTAGAAACAGTACAGGGTTAATTTCCATTTGCAACACACAGTATAGGGTTAACTTCCATCTGAAACAGACGGTATAGGGTTAACTTCCATCTGAAACAGACAGTATAGGGTTAAGTTGTATTTGTAGAAACAGTACAGGGTTAATTTCCATTTGCAACACACAGTATAGGGTTAATTTCTGTTTTCAATAAACAATATGGTTAACTTCCATTTGCAACAGACAGTATAGGGTTAATATCCATCTGAAACAGACAGTATAAGGTTAACTTGTATTAGTAAAAACAGTACAGTGTTAATTTCCTTCTGCAACAGACAGTATGGGGTTAACTTCCATTTGCAACAGACTAGGGTTAATTTTCATCTGCTACAAACAGTATAGCCTGAGTTTTATTATTTTATCACAGTCAAATACTTTAATAAAACTGTTAACTAAAGATTTGATTCTCAATTCAATAAAACAATAAATGTAAGCTTACTAAAAATGTGTAATATCCAGGTTTGATATCTGTAATATCAATCCACTGGCAGTCTATATCAAACATGTAGTTATCCGAGCAATTTACAGATAGACCTGTGGATTAATAAGGAATAGAGGGAAGTAATAAAAAAATTAAATTCTCCGATTATCGTTCTTGTGTTGTGTTTACAACTGCGTGTGAAAAGGTTGGGGTGAGAGAAGACGACATCTCTTTAATTATTAATTTGAATTTAACTTTCAAGATGTAAGATTTGAACAATATAATTAGATAATCTTGTGTAATCTGATAAAATAAGCTTGAAAACTGTAAACTAGTCAATTTAAACTGATTTTCTCATATTAATTTGTTGACGTGGTAAAATATATTTGCCAGTGTAATCTTAATCGAAAAGAATCAAACAAATCCTAAGATATATTTCTTGCTTGTGTAAACAAACATGTCTGACTACATACCCTGGTCAGCAAATCCCTTGCAGTTAAACTTGGGGAAGACCCCCCTGTCGCAGGCCGAATCTTCCAGACAAAAACTGGCTTTACTCCCCTCAGCAAGCCTCACGCCGTTGCTGTCCATGATGTCGTAGTGGGCAAACACCTCCATGCTGTGGTAGTGTCTGGAACATTCGATACAGGTGTTAGAATTGTTGGATACATGATATTTTAATGTCTGCAACATTCGATACAGGTGATAGAATTTGTCAGACACATGATATTTTAATGTCTGGAACATTCGATACAGGTGATAGAATTGTCAGATACATGATATTTTAATGTCTGGAACATTCGATACAGGTGATAGAATTGTCAGATACATGATATTTTAATGTCTAGAACATTCGATACAGGTGATAGAATTGTCAGATACATTATATTTTAATGTCTGGAACATTCGATACAGGTGATAGAATTTGTCAGACACATGATATTTTAATGTCTGGAACATTCGATACAGGTGATAGAATTGTCAGATACATGATATTTTAATGTCTAGAACATTCGATACAGGTGATAGAATTGTCAGATACATGATATTTTAATGTCTAGAACATTCGATACAGGTGATAAAATTGTCAGATACATGATATTTTAATATCTGGAACATTCGATACAGGTGATAGAATTGTCAGATACTGTTCAGATACATGATATTTTATGTTTGGAATTGTAAATGATATTTTATGTTTGGAATTGTACATGATATTTTATGTTTGAAATTGTACATGATATATTATGTTTGGAATTGTACATGATATTTTATGTTTGGAATTGTACATGATATTTTAATGACCTGCATCAAACACGATGGAGCTCTAGGGTTAAAAGATACACGATATGATGTGTAAAAATATCGTAATGTAACATGAAAACACTAAGGTTACTCGTTCAGTTGCTAACATTATGACGTTTTACAATGCACACGCATGTACTTGGACATACTATGTGGAACCTCCCCCACCTCTCGTAACACATCGCCAGTTAAGTCCGAATTACCCCTACCACTGGTGAGTGTGAGTGAGACAATGACCCCTGGGTAGAGACGGTCTAACTTACCTATGACAAGAATGTCGTTGCCACTGCCCCCCCCCCCCCGGATAGAGAAGGTCTAATTTACCTATGACAAGAATGCCATTGCCACTGCCCCCTGGGTAAAGACGGTCTAACTTACCTAAGACAAGAATGCCATTGCCACTGCCCCCTGGGTAAAGACGGTCTAACTTACCTAAGACAAGAATGCCATTGCCACTGCCCCCCCCCCCCCGGGTAGAGAAGGTCTAACTTACCTATGACAAGAATGCCATTGCCACTGCCCCCCCCCCCCCCCCGGGTAGAGAAGGTCTAACTTACCTATGACAAGAATGCCATTGCCACTGCCCCCTGCCCCCCCCCCCCCGCCTGGGTAAAGACGGTCTAACTTACCTATGACAAGAATGCCATTGCCACTCCCCCCCCCCCCCCCCCCGCCTGGGTAAAGACGGTCTAACTTACCTATGACAAGAATGCCATTGCCACTGTCCCCTGGGTAAAGACGGTCTAAAATCTTCATTCCCTCTGTTGTGTACCACAGTGGAAAACCGCATCAGACGCCTCACGCTGTTTCTCCAGGCTGTCAAAGAGGATTCCTTTTTCAAGTTATTCAGTTATTCAAAAGGTCATAACAAAATATACAACCCCAATCCCCAATGTATATTCCTATATATATGTATATATATATATATATATATATATATATATATATATATATATATATATATATATATATATATATATATATATATCCCACTTCTACGACCTTTCCCCCTTGGCACCCTCTTAAGGTTTTGATGTGATACAAAGTCGACCTTTTACACCGTCTGATCTATACCCCCCCCCCCCCCCCCCTCCCACTTTTTAAAAAGTTTTGACATCTCTTGTAGGTTTAGTGGATACTGTGCTTCACAAAACTCACTTGTGCTTGTACTCTGAATTAAATAAGCCGAACTAGACAGACAGTTTTCCTCCATTGAGCAGGTGAGGTAGTAGAGGGCCTGGTCCTGGAGACGGATGGATGTTTCTATAGCATTGAGGTTCGGCACCAGGTCGGGTAGATCTGAAATGGATGTGTGGGTCTAGGCGGTTGTGTCGTGGTCGTAGAATTGATTAAATTACATTTTTTTAATTGTACGTTAACTTTGGAGTAAAATAAATATAACTGTGAGGTTTATAAATTATGTGGATGCACTATTCCCACTACTACCCTGCACTGGCCAGTTCAACTTTGCTGTATGATAAAGATGGGGTTGTTGATTTTTTTTTTGTGTTTTTTTTTTCACGACAGAAACTCGTTGTAAATTATCATATTGCCTAAATCATTAATTATTAACAGTAGGCCCCTAAATAATAATTATTGTTCTTTAAATGATACTGATTAGCAACTCATTGTCACAGCATGATATTACAATAATTATTAATGGATTTGGATCTGAATCTCGAGATCACCAGACTAGATCTAGATCTAGAATCTAGATCTAGATCTAGATATCTAGATCCTACAAAATAGATCTTTACGTTTTTTTATCATCGGATAACGTAGAAGATTTTGTTTATTGGCCGACAGATTCTAATTTTAATCTAGGTCTCGATTTAGCGACAATTTCAAATTCTTTCAAAATATTAATATTCAGATCCGGCTTATCAATCATAATCATACGCAAAACATTTTATAAAAATAAAAATGATTTAAACTATGTTTTAAATAGGCTAGGCCTAAATAATTTAAATAATTTTACTTTGCTAAGAAAAAACGATTTACCAAACTGAATTATTTCCCTTGCTTGTTTAGAATGCTTTGCATTTATAAAATAAAACCGTGACCTATATTGCAATGACTCTGTGGCCTAATGGATAAGGCGTCGGCCTCCGGAGCCGAAGATTGTGGGTTCGAGTCCCATCAGAGTCGAATGTTATTTTATCGCTGTGTATCATAGATTTTTATTTGCAATTCCTAAATCGTTTTTTTTTTTTTTTTAAAAGCTAACGATTTCAATTATATTTATTTACTGTAACTTTGTTATGAAATTTCCGTAGAATTTTTTTACTCTTGCATGCACAAGACAAGTTTATATTGCCGGTACTATCGGTGATTGGGAATGTTTGCAGTTTGTTATAGAAGGATTAGACTAAACATGATGTTGTGTTATGTAATTTTCATGGTGTAGATTAATATTTATGAGTTTGTTATAGAAGGATTAGACTAAACATGATGTTATGTTATGTAATTTTCATGGTGTAGATTAATATTTATGAGTTTGTTATAGAAGGATTAGACTAAACACGATGTTGTGTTATGTAATTTTCATGGTGTAGATTAACTTTTTTTTATTTATTTAAAAATGTATGCCCTTGGTATTTTCATTCAAAAATACGTTCACGTTAACGGTTAGAAAGTAACAAAAGTAATTGTCACAACATAAAACTTTGGATGAGCTGCTTTAAATCAAACATGCATGTCATTTTGTCTTCGTGGGGGTGAGGACCACTGACTTTTAGAGGAGACGCGAAAATTGCCAAAATATATATATATATATACTTTTTTAAATATAGGCCTACAGCAACCTATATTAGCCTACGTAATCTACACAATTTTAGCATTCAACATTTAATAAAATAATGTAGTGTACCATTGTTTAATTTACTTAAACATGTTGCATTGTTAAAGTAGTATTATTTGTTACAGTTCCTTTCCATTACGATTAAAATGCACCAATGAAGACAACATATATTTTTGTACCGATGATCGTATCAATGTTATGGTAACGATCATGGGTACAAAAATATATGTTATGGTAGTTCAAAATCTTTAATTAATTACTTCCCTAATATAAATTAAAACGAACCAAGAACGATAACATAATAACCATATATGATCGTTGCATAACAGAGAAAATCATAACAAAAGAAAGAATAAATATGTATGTGTTGATTTGATTTAAATACATTTTTCCAATGCGTATAAGACTGTTTTTTCAAGTAGTTATCGAACATAAATTTTAGAATTATTATTTGACTCATGTTTAAATAATGACCCATTAGTCTTATTTGATTGGTTGACGCGTGGAAACTTTGTTTAATATGTATTCAGTAATTCAAATTTAATTAGACGTGTTCGAAAGCGAAATTCCCCATCATACTACTCCTGACATAAAATTAATTAATTAATTAATTAATTAACGCATGTTTTTAAGTTTCTAATTTGATAAGGTGTAACAATTGATAGTGAATGTTAATGCACGTCCGAAAGAAATATAATTATAAAATCTATATCAGTCTATATGATTATGTAAAGTTATCACTAAAGTGATTATGTTAATGTGTCACGATTAAAGTGATTGTAATTTAGCCAGTGTGTCACTAATGTGATTGTGATTTAGCCAGTGTGTCACTAATGTGATTGTGATTTAGCCAGTGTGTCACTAATGTGATTGTGACTGTGCCAATGTGCCCCAGTAAATGAAAACGAGGATTTAATCGACCTGCTGTAACCACTAGACCCCACAGTTTCATTAGTCATTCCAAATTAGATTTCACGTCATTAAGCGACCAAGTGTCGCTGTTATCTCCCTTCTTACAACCACGGCTTGATGAAAGTAAACATGCGGTGGGCGGGGGAAGGGGGGTGCAATGGGTTAACGAGAGTTGAGAGCTTCGTCTTCGGGGATCACCGTGACCTCTGTCAACATCTGGAACACGGATGCGTACTTTGTGACCCACATCAGCATCTTTAAATTTTGTATTTGATGTTTTAAGCATGTTAGCACCTTGAGTTTGCAAGGTAGTATGAGCTGCTGACCTGTGTTCCATGATGTTTTGTTTGTTGTGACATAATCTGCAGGTAATATTTCCTCCGTGCCCTTCGTTTGCTTCATTGGGTATTCCACACATAGCATGGACAATCTGGACATCATTGCCACAGGATCCACAAGAATGGGCTGCACTACAATGTTTTTCACAAACTATACAGAATCTGTTGGCCACATTATTGTCACGCAACTGGTCTGGACGTTCCACCACGGCAGCAGATGTCTTAGCTGAGGAAGTCGTTGCATATATGGCAACCTCCATTTCTTGTTCAATGTTCTTAAGATCTGGTTTCTGACGCCCACGCCGTCTCAAGTCGCTTGAACACTATTGTTCAACTTACAAGAAACGCGGCAAAAACTTTTGAACGTGGTCACGTGGTCGGTGACGCCAACTGTCTTTGATTTTGTTCTTTGATGATTGTCATCATGGAGGAGGCTGTCACATACAGTTGTAGCTCATATATGGAAACTAACATGGATTTACATTTTTTTTCTTTTGACAGCCATCTGCTATGTCTGTCTCATGGTCTAACGGCCCTTTTGATCCATGTCGCCTTGCATATAGAATGCTATACAAACAAGAGCTAAACAATACGTTACTCACAATGAAACCGCACCCAGAATAATGAAAACGCGATCACAACTTAGTCTAGATAGAACATTGGCCAGGACATCCCGGCCAGTGCGCGCATTGGCCGGCCAATGTACAAAATACGCTGTCAAGTTTAAGCGCTTCGGACTTTGGCCAGTACGTCCCGGCCAGTGCGCGCATTGGTCGGCCAATGTACGAAATACGATCTTAATGTTAAGTTCTTCGGGCTTTGGCCGAGAGAGCCGGCCAATGCGTGGCCGGCCAATCCGCGCTTTGGCCGCACTTCGGGCTTTGATCGTAACATATAAATTTATAAAGCAAAGTGGTCAGGTGCCCGATTGGGCACTTCCCGGCACCGCAGTCGCTTTAAATTTGGCAGGCTCTTGCCTTGGGGCAATAGATCACAGGGCCACCGCCGGTTGGCAAAAAATTCCAAAAACAGGGGTCAAAACTGACCTCAACTGACCGTATTTTCTTATATAAGCATAGCAATTTTTTTTGTGACAAAAAGTAAAGACTACGTCATTTGGTCTATGTACAAGGGAGGTAACTTTCTAAACTAGTTATTTTTAAAATTATTCTTATACTTTTTTAAACATATACAGAAAATGGCAAAGCATAGCATTTGTTTAAATAAGAGTGTTGTTATAAATTATTTTATGTATTGTAATTAAATTGTAAAAAGTAAATCAATATAATATTTGAGATATACTATTAAGAAAGGCTTTGCAGTTTTAAACACCTTACGGGTAATAAGTTTGCGAATATCTCGTTAATATTTGCTTTGATCTTATCGCCGTTCAATTTTAAAGCACTCCGTATTAAAAAAAAACTCCGTATTAAAAAGCCAATCACTAATTAATTAATAAAAAAAAAACTAATTCATTAATCTTAGAAATTCTCTAATGTCTTTTGAAAACCTAAGCGAAGCTAGACAATACGCATGGTATTTATATACAATCATGAGTACACAGATGTCTGAGCATGTCTCACCACTTATGAGTACACAGACGTCTATGTACAACAGAGATCCGTTATTAGAGCAAAACCAAATTGTTCTGAATATTCTTATTAACCTAATTAACCCTGACTGGAGAAGAAAACTAGCATAGATTCAGATTGAGACACAACATGTCTAAACTCCACTCCCATCTAGGACCTTTTGTTTTTATTCTGTTTTTTGGGTATTTAGCTCACCATTTTTTGACAAATTTTGTGGTTATCTTTAATTTAAATTCCGGTGACAGTTTTTTCATAAACTTAAGTTAGATTTTAGCAGACGACTGATGACAGTTTTTTCAAAAGCTAAACTTACGATTTGAGCAGACGACTCCCGCCACCCTCTGTCTCTGGCTGCACGTGTGTTTCTCGTCTGTTCTCGTGAGATTACACTGGGACAAGTTCTTCTCACGGCCCACACATTTGATCCTGTAGTAGAGTTTGGGTAGCTCCGTGCCGCCATAGTAGCTGGCCTGTGGGTACAGTGGGTACTTTGTTGGTCAAACTTTGTTGGTCAAGTGGGTACTTTGTTGGTCAAACTTTGTTGGTCAAGTGGGTACTTTGTTGGTCAAGTGGGTACTTTGTTGGTCAAACTTTGTTGGTCAAGTGGGTACTTTGTTGGTCAAACTTTGTTGGTCAAGTGGGTACTTTGTTGGTCAAACTTTGTTGGTCAAGTGGGTACTTTGTTGGTCAAACTTTGTTGGTCAAGTGGGTACTTTGTTGGACAAGTGGGTACTTTGTTGGTCAAACTTTGTTGGTCAAGTGGGTACTTTGTTAGACAAGTGGGTACTTTGTTGGTCAAACTTTGTTGGTCAAGTGGGTACTTTGTTGGTCAAACTTTGTTGGTCAAGTGGGTACTTTGTTGGTCAAACTTTGTTGGTCAAGTGGGTACTTTGTTGGTCAAACTTTGTTGGTCAAGTGGGTACTTTGTTGGTCAAACTTTGTTGGTCAAGTGGGTACTTTGTTGGTCAAACTTTGTTGGTCAAGTGGGTACTTTGTTGGTCAAACTTTGTTGGTCAAGTGGGTACTTTGTTGGTCAAACTTTGTTGGTCAAGTGGGTACTTTGTTGGTCAAACTTTGTTGGTCAAGTGGGTACTTTGTTGGACAAGTGGGTACTTTGTTGGTCAAACTTTGTTGGTCAAGTGGGTACTTTGTTGGACAAGTGGGTACTTTGTTGGTCAAACTTTGTTGGTCAAGTGGGTACTTTGTTGGACAAGTGGGTACTTTGTTGGTCAAACTTTGTTGGTCAAGTGGATATTTTCTTGCTTAAGTGGGTACTTTGTTGGTCTACTCTAGTGGGAACTTTGTTGGACAAGTGGGTACTTTGTTGGTCAAGTGGGTACTTTGTTGGTCAAACTTTGTTGGTCAAGTGGGTATTTTCTTGGTCAAGTGGGTACTTTGTTGGTCAAGTAATTAACTTGTTGGTCAGTTTGGTACTTTAAATTGTTACTTTGTTGGTCAATGTGGTACTATGCTGTTCAATATGTTATTTTTTTGTTGGTATATTTGGTACTTTTTTGGTCAGTTTAGTACTTGGTTGATTTTTATTTTTAAAAATTGGCGTGGATGTTAATTAGTTTGAGGTATCTATGTACCCACTTTGGACCCCCGAACCCCATTCCATCCCCTCCCACTACCACCCTTCCCCATTTGAAGTGATCTGACCGTTAACGTTTATTGAAAAAAAAAATTTCAAACAGTAAATATAGTATGAATGGGTAAAAAAATCATAAACTAACTTTGATTCTCTATTTTCTTTTCTCAATTAAACAGATGATTAAACCAACTCGTGAATTCAAGAATGACCTCCCCTTACACTCAAATTCCTTCGCTCACCGATATAAACAGCCACTGAATGAAAACAAATAGAGTTCTTTCCCTGTGTGCTAACGTAGACAAAACACGTTGACTCAACGAGTGAGCTGGTGTCAATATCTTCAAGTTTTGATGGTGTAACCACGGCCTGGGGCGGGGGGGGGGGTCGTCTCAAGGGGTGATTAATTGTGGGTGCTATCTACTTTTCTTTATACTCCGGTGGGATGATTAATTGTGGGTGCTATCTACACTTTCTTGATATACAAATACAGGTGGGGTGATTAATTGTGGGTGCTATCTACACTTTCTTGATATACAAGTGGGGGTGATTAATTGTGGGTGCTATCTACACTTTCTTGATATACAGGTGGGATGATTAATTGTGGGTGCTATCTACACTTTCTTGATATACAGGTGGGGTGATTAATTGTGGGTGCTATCTACACTTTCTTGATATACAGGTGGGATGATTAATTGTGGGTGCTATCTACACTTTCTTGATATACAGGTGGGGTGATTAATTGTGGGTGCTATCTACACTTTCTTGATATACAGGTGGGGTGATTAATTGTGGGTGCTATCTACACTTTCTTGATATACAGGTGGGATGATTAATTGTGGGTGCTATCTACACTTTCTTGATATACAGGTGGGGTGATTAATTGTGGGTGCTATCTACACTTTCTTGATATACAAGTGGGGGTGATTAATTGTGGGTGCTATCTACACTTTCTTGATATACAGGTGGGATGATTAATTGTGGGTGCTATCTACACTTTCTTGATATACAGGTGGGGTGATTAATTGTGGGTGCTATCTACACTTTCTTGATATACAGGTGGGATGATTAATTGTGGGTGCTATCTACACTTTCTTGATATACAGGTGGGGTGATTAATTGTGGGTGCTATCTATATTTTCTTGATACACAGGTGGGATGATTAATTGTGGGTGCTATCTACACTTTCTTGATATACATGTGGGATGATTAATTGTGGGTGCTATCTACACTTTCTTGATATACAGGTGGGATGATTAATTGTGGGTGCTATCTACACTTTCTTGATAAACAGGTGGGGTGATTAATTGTGGGTGCTATCTACACTTTCTTGATATACAGGTGGGGTGATTAATTGTGGGTGCTATCTACACTTTCTTGATAAACAGGTGGGGTGATTAATTGTGGGTGCTATCTACACTTTCTTGATATACAGGTGGGGTGATTAATTGTGGGTGCTATCTACACTTTCTTGATAAACAGGTGGGGTGATTAATTGTGGGTGCTATCTACACTTTCTTGATATACAGGTGGGGTGATTAATTGTGGGTGCTATCTACACTTTCTTGATATACAGGTGGGATGATTAATTGTGGGTGCTATCTACACTTTCTTGATATACAGGTGGGATGATTAATTGTGGGTGCTATCTACACTTTCTTGATATACAGGTGGGATGATTAATTGTGGGTGCTATCTACATTTTCTTGATATACAGGTGGGATGATTAATTGTGGGTGCTATCTACACTTTCTTGATATACAGGTGGGATGATTAATTGTGGGTGCTATCTACATTTTCTTGATACAAATGTGGGATGATTAATTGTGGGTGCTATCTATACTTTCTTGAGATTCGGATGATTAATTTCTCAGCTCTGTGTGTGCTGTCTACACTTTCTTTAGATACTGGTGTTTTCTTTATTTAAAGGTGCGCCAAAAGTAGAAATGCCAAACGTTAACGATAAATAAACAACAGAAAAAAAAATCAGCGTCGGCTTCATAGTGCAAGCAGATTGTAATAGAATTGATGATGCTAGCATATTTTAATGGAGACATGATATAACAAGAAGATTGTAATGGAAATAGGTTAATAATGCCAGTATATTAAATAGAGACAGAATAACGCAAGAAGAAATAGAAAAATTAAACTAAGTTATACTGAATTTAAATTGGCGAGAAAGGGATTGCCCTTTACCGCCTTAACTTTTGCTGAAAGGGATATGAGTTTCCGTGACAAGATGACAGATACATTCCATGGAACATTAAGGCCCAGCACTAAAACAGTAGACAACTAGAGATGATCATGTTCACCTTGAAAGTGCGGGGGTCAATGTCATGACCAGTCATACCTAAAACATCTACATAGCCTGGTTTGATGTTTTGATTGTTCAGACCAACAGGTAATGATCATGTGACCAACATATCACTTAGGGAATACGTCGACAGAATATAACTTCAGGGAACGAGTTGACTGAATGTACCCCTTAAGGGAATTCGAACACCTACCCCACTTACCGCTATCTTAGCCTACCCCCCCTCCCCAACTTACCGCCATCTTAGCCTACCCCCCTCCAAACTTACCGCTATCTTAGCCTACCCCCCCCCCCCCCCACTTACCAAGACCGCCATCTTGGCTTGTCCGAACTCCGCCAACTGGTTACATGCTACCATGGTCTCCCTCAGTGTCCAGTGGTCGCTGCACACGGCACCCCAGGGACCTTCATTGGCCCGGACCTGCAGATGACCTTCCCACTTGTAACGTCCACCTTTGATCCGGACCTCCAAAACCTGGGATTGGAAGATGTCAGTTACATCATTAGGTCATACAAGTTCGAGACAACACTATACTTATAAGCAGGTGGTTAAACATAGTATAGTTTACTCGTAAGCTAGTGGTTAAAAATATAGTTTACTCATAAGCTAGTGGTTTAAAGTATAGTTTACATATATATTTTGGTGGTTGAAAGTGGTAAACATTACTTACAAATTGGTGGTTGAAAATAGTATAGTTTACTCATAAACAGGTGGTTGGAAATAGTATAGTTTACTCATAAGCAAGTAATTAAATATAGTATAGTTTACTCATATGTTGGTGGTTAAAAAAAAGTATAGTTTACTTATAAACAGGTGGTTGCAAATAACTTTATTTATAAATTGGTGGTTGAAAATTGTAAACGTTAATTATATGTTCGTGGGTGAACATAATATAGTTTACTTAGTTGCAAGTAAGACGACGATACAATATAGTTTACTTATGCTACTAAAAGACAAAAGTATAGTTTACTTATGCTACCAGACGACAAAAGTATAGTTTACTTATATATGTGGGCGTGTACGTTACGAACGAGTGCGATGGCCTGTTTATTTACACACCCCAACTACCTGCATGATTTCTAGTGTAAAATGTCACCTATTTCTTGCTTGTTGTTTTTCTTTTCTATTTTTAAATAAAAACTTCAACTACTTAAGAAATACCTCAATAGTTCCAGGTAATCTGATAAGTTTACAGAGGTAAAGCCGTTTTCCGAAAGTTATTTTAGATTTGGTTCGGGTTGTTTTTTTTTTCCAGTTCAAGTTTTAAAATTGTGCGAATACTTTTAAAGGTGTTGAAAAAAAAGGTTTCGTTTTGAGGAATCGCCAAATGTTCTTTAACTTTTCTCTGATAGATTTCCCTCATATTTTTAGCAAAAAAATTGTTTACGCAGAACTTTATTTATAAACGAATTTTAAAATACAGATAATGTCATACATAATACTTCTTCTTCGTTCTTAATCGTAATGTGGACGAGATTTTCTCCAATACAACAAAGTATTCATTTCAACTTGTTAAGCGCTATATAGGCCATTGACTCCGATGTCAGCCTGCTTTTCATTTTTGATTTGCTTCCATAGCCATTGTCCATCCAAGAACAAATAAAACCAAATTCGCAATTTAATAACAACATATTATAAACTTGATTCTTCCTTCTCAATGATGCACTTTTATTTATTTCGTTTTATTTGATCCGACTTTTTATGTACAAGTGCATGGAGATGAACTCGACCGATTTGTTCCGCTGTAAGAGATCCGAGTTTTTACGCTTCAGTGCAGAGAAAGCCGCCTAGATCAAAGCAGGAGTAGGCCAAAGTTGTTGAAACCCTCAGCACCTCAGTTCATCAAAACTCTCCAGTAAATAGGTCGCTTGTTTTTACCTGGTTATCCGCTACCCCCCCCCCCCCCCGCCCCTTCCGTTTAAAAAAAACAACAACTGTGTTAATCTGGTTACTACCTGTATTTTACACCTCAGCACTTTCTCTGGAGGAAAAAAACATGTTTTTTTTCTGTGCACTATTTGACCCAGGGGTTGCATGTTTGTATGTCTCGTTGACGTCACGCATGTACCATTAAATACAGCAATAAAAAACCTCTCTCTCTCTCAGTATAATTATATATATATATATATATATATATATATATATATATATATATATATATATATATATATATATATATATATATATATAGGGCCTATATATATAAGTATATATATATATATATATATATATATATATATATATATATATATATATATATATATATATATATATATATATATATACCTATATATAGAGTTTCTCAACTCTATATATAGGTATATATATATATACATATATATATATATATATATATATATATATATATATAGGGCCTATATATATATAAGTATATATATATATATATATATATATATATATATATATATATATATATATATATATATATATATATATATATATATATACCTATATATAGAGTTTCTCAACTCTATACAAGCACGAGTCAACCCACCACTGATCTGTATTTGATATGCGTGTGTGGGGGGGGGGGGTGTAAAACAAGTGTTGATTACACACACAAAACTCTCTCATAAATAAGTCGACATGATCTCCCTTTATTGTCTTATTTGCATTATTCGATGAATACATCTTGTTGACACGATCACATCAGAAATCCCCCTCCACCCCCTCCCCTAATCTAATTAAAGCTATCACATTTAGTGACTGATAATCACAAACACCCCAAATACCAGAGGCTTGAGCGATATTTTTCAACGAGAACAAATTTATTTTAAGAATCATTTCCACGCTCAAGATAACGGAAAAACCCAAACACGATAGTAAAAAGAATAAAATAGCACGCGTATAAAAAACACATCTTAAAACAACATCCGATTATTTACACATCCAAATGAAGAACTCAGCAAGCTAAACTAGATTTTATATTCACATTTTTTTTCCTTATCCCTTAAACCAGGGAAAAACCTGTGGCCAAAATCCAACCGAAAAAAAAAGCCAAAATAAAAAATATAATTTTAAAATTGGATTGGATTGTTCAACCAGCGAGTAATGTTTTAATGAAGTTAGTGAGGTTGTGTTAAAAACTACTCACCGTTCTGTTATAGTTTAATTAAACGTCTAAAAAAATGTTTGCAAAGAGCTTTTCATTCTCATAATTTTTTAAGGATTAAAATATTTAAACGCGAGCTAAAAAAAAAATTAATTTAAATATTGGCTTAGTGCTCACTTTTGCCAGATTATAATTTTTTTTTAAACTGCTTTGAATGAGACAATAAAAAATACACATATATTCTGCATTTGTTGGGTCACACATAATCATAACGCAATACAATTCATAAAGGCAAAAGGGTTCTCAGACATATTCTGGCTTTTTTTACCCGACACACCACTAAATATGAAGGCAATTATCTGCGGGTTATCCGGTCATCCCCACCAACCCCCCCACCACCCCCACCACCTACACATACACACTTCTCATTTTATCCTCCTGTCTCCCACACCCCCACAACACATCAAACTGTCACCTCACACCCACACAACACAACTCACCTGTCCCCCACACCCCCACAACTCACCTCACACCCACACAACTCACCCCAACCTGTCCCCCACACCCCCACAACTCACCTGTCCCCCACACCACACACCCTCACAGCACCTCAACCTGTCCCCCACAGCACCTCAACCTGTCCCCCACAGCACCTCAACCTGTCCCCCACAGCACCTCAACCTGTCCCCCACACCCCCACAACTCACATGTCCCCCACACACCCCACACCCCCACAACTCACATGTCCCACACCCCCACCCCCACACCCCCACAACTCACATGTCCCACACCCCCACCCTCACACCCCCACAACTCACCTCAACCTGTCCCCCACACCCCACACCCCCACAACTCACATGTCCCACACCCCCACCCCCACACCCCCACAACTCACATGTCCCCCACACACCCCACACCCCCAAAACTCACATGTCCCACACCCCCACCCCCACACCCCCACAACTCACCTCAACCTGTCCCCCACACACCCCACACCCCCACAACTCACCTCAACCTTACCCCCACACCCCACAACCCCACAACTCACATGTCCCACACCCCCACCCCCACACCCCCACAACTCACCTGTCCCCCACACACCCCACACCCCCACAACTCACATGTCCCACACCCCCACCCCCACACCCCCACAACTCACCTCAACCTGTCCCCCACAACTCACCTCAACCTGTCCTCCACACACCCCACACCCCCACAACTCACATGTCCCACACCCCCACCCCCACAACTCACCTCAACCTGTCCCCCACACCCCACACCCCCACCCCCACACCCCCACAACTCACCTCAACCTGTCCCCCACACACCCCACACCCCCACAACTCACATGTCCCCCACACCCCCACAACTCACCTCAACCTGTCCCCCACACACCCCACACCTCCACAACTCACCTATCCCCCACACACCCCACACCCCCACAACTCACCTCAACCTGCGGCTCATCCGACAGCACCGACTTGTTATCCGCCTCAGTTTCCTGTTTCTTGACGTCACTCAACCCCTGGGCCACGTGACCCGCCCCTGTCGTGTTGGTGCTCAGGTCCACGTCGCTGGGGGTGGGGGAGTCGGGGGAGTCATCCCGCCCCACACTGTCCTCGTCGTTTGTGTCCTCGACCTGGTCCTGGTTTAGGGACATGAGCAGGCTGTACCGGTCCTCCATAGTGTCCTCTGATGGGGTTTCTTGTGGGGTTTGGGTGGTTGGTGATGTTGGTGGTGTGGTTGGTTGTGTGGTTGATGATGTTGGTTGTGTGGTTGGTTGTGTGGTTGATGATGTTGGTTGTGTGGTTGGTTGTGTGGTTGATGGTGTTGGTTGTGTGGTTGATGATGGTTGTGTGGTTGCTGATGTTGGTTGTGTGGTTGATGATGGTTGTGTGGTTGGTTGTGTGGTTGCTGATGTTGGTTGTGTGGTTGCTGGTGTTGGTTGTGTGGTTGGTTGTGGGATTGCTGATGTTGGTTGTGTGGTTGCTGGTGTTGGTTGTGTGGTTGGTTGTGGGATTGCTGATGTTGGTTGTGTGGTTGCTGGTGTTGGTTGTGTGGTTGCTGATTTTGGTTGTGTGGTTGCTGATGTTGGTTGTGTGGTTGGTGATGTTGGTTGTGTGGTTGCTGGTGTTGGTTGTGTGGTTGGTTGTGTGGTTGCTGATGTTGGTTGTGTGGTTGCTGATGTTGGTTGTGTGGTTGCTGGTGTTGGTTGTGTGGTTGCTGGTGTTGGTTGTGTCGTTGCTGATGTTGTCTGTGGGGTTGACGAGGTTGATTCTGTGGTTGGCTTTGTGGTTGCTGATGTTGGTTGTGTGGTTGCTAATGTTGATTGTGTTGTAGCTGAGGTTGGCGGTGTGGTATGTGATGTTGATTGTGCGGTTGGCTGTGTGGTATGTGATGTTGATTGCGTGGTTGGCACAGTGGTTGCTGATGGCGGCTGTGTTGGTTGTGTTGTTGGAGATGTTGGCTGTTTGGTTGCTGATGTTGATTGGGTAGCCGGTGATGTTGGTTGTGTTGTTGCTGATGTCGGCTGTGTCGTTGGCTGTTTCGTTGCTGATGTTGATTGCGGTTTTATCTCTGCTGTTGAGTCCTGATCTTTCGCCGACTGCTGTTTTAAAGATTTCTTTACACTAGTCAACTGTTTACTTGCTACTGAAGCTGCTTGTTTTGTTTCATCTTTCGTTAACGCTCTCCCACTTTCAGTTTTTGCATGTTGTATCCTACGAATTTGTTGAATACCCTGATGTTGAATGTTGATAGACTTAGTAGGTTGGGATGTTGTTGTATCATACAACTTTGTTGTTTTTGTACGCGGCGGTTTTATCGAGGTTTTAAGTATAGAAAACATGTTGTCGGGAATAATCGAGTTACTCTTTAATTTGTTTTTTCCTCTGAATCTTTTCTTCTTAATTTTGGAGTCGGCAGGAGTCGAGACGATCATGGAGTCATCCGACGGCGTCAGCGTGATGGCGGCGCTGCAGATGACGCCGGCTGACCGCTTGCTGCCCTGGCACTTCTTCTGACGCGTGTACTTGTCGTATCCGACAAACTGGCATGCGTCAAGTCTCGTCTCGTTGCCGGAGCACTGGACGTCCGTCAGCCACATGCGTTCTGTGGGGAGAATTTGTTCAGGTTAGTGACAGTAGCATGGAGGGGGGGGGGGTCTAGGAGGTTGGGGAGGGGGGTGTAAAGATCTTCATCCAATACCTTGTTAATTAATTTTGAACATAATTACCAATTAATACAAATAAAGTTATCGTTCACTCGAGCCATTGTCCATTCCGGCCAACGGCATTCAGGTATGAACTATGTGTATGATGTGTGGGTGTGTGTGTGTGTGTGTGTGTTATTGTGTGATTATATGTACAATGTGTGTGTGTGCGTGTGTGCATTATTGTTTGATTTTGTGTATGATGTGTAAGTGTGGACGTGTATATATGCGTGTGTGTGTATATATATGTGTGTGTGTAAGAATACCCCGTGTCAGAACTAGATTTGTGTTAAACAATAACTAATATCAAACAAGTGCCATGACAAGACTGGATACAGAAAAACCAGCTAACGATGTATTATGGGAGCTCCGGGACTAATCTTAATCTTGATACCAATGTAGCCCAACTCTAACGCTTTCATTGACACAAATTTAGACCAACTCTTAACGCTTTCATTGATACAAATTTAGACCAACTCTTAACGCTTTCATTGATACAAATTTAGACCAACTCTTAACGCTTTCATTGATACAAATTTAGACCAACTCTTAACGCTTTCATTGATACAAATTTAGACCAACTCTTAACGCTTTCATTGACACAAATTTAGACCAACTCTTAACGATTTCATTGACACAAATTTAGGCCAACTCTTTAACGCTTATATTGACACAAATTTAGACCACCTTTTAACGCTTTTATTGATATATCTTCCATACTCGCCAGAATCGGAAAACCCCGCTGACGTCACGTTAAGCCCTGACCTGTGTGTCACGTCTTATTTTTATCGCAGCTCCAGGTTTTACCTCGTGAGTGTTAGGCACGGGCTCTGTGGGGGTCACGGGGAGTGGGGTGAGCAATAAAACATGGCTGCCACCCCCCCCTCCCACCCACCCTACCCACACCCATTTAAGTATCTAAACTAATGGCACACAAAAACCCCTCGCGTTCAAGTAATTAGCGTGACGTTATTGACCAACAGATAACCAATTATCTGACCAATCTAAATCATCCTCTGATTATTTTTCTCATGTAAAGACGTCAAGATTGTATTCCCCCAATTTTTTTCCTTCAGATGTTTAACTTCATTCTTCGAACGAAAAATGCAATCAACTTTTTCATGGCACAAAATAAACAAAACTGAACGAATCCAAAATTTCTATTTGTCGTCCCAATTAGGCCTGCATGAACACAAATTTATACAGCGACGGTCAAATAAAAATCTTCGTGTTGATTGATTGCAAATTAAGTTTTCAATTTCAAGCCTTCTCAATGTAGCAGTGTTTACATCAATCTAGCAGTGTTTACATCAATCTAGCAGTGTTTACATCAATCTAGTAGTGTTTACATCAATCTAGCAGTGTTTACATCAATCTAGTAGTGTTTACATCAATCTAGTAGTGTTTACATCAATCTAGCAGTGTTTACATCAATCTAGTAGTGTTTACATCAATCTAGCAGTGTTTACATCAATCTAGTAGTGTTTACATCAATCTAGCAGTGTTTACATCAATCTAGTAGTGTTTACATCAATCTAGTAGTGTTTGCATCAACACAGGGGAAGTGCAAATATAAAAAGAAGATTGGAAAACGTGTATCTATGAACAAGGGCAAAAATGTCTATTGGTACGGTCATCGATGACTTCCTGGTTATCACGCCTACCAACTATTCGTCAAGCCTACAAAATGGTTGTCACGCCTACCAACTATTTGTCAAGCCTACAAAATGGTTGTCACGCCTACCAACTATTTGTCAAGCCTACAAAGTGGCTGTCACGCCTACCAACTATTTGTCAAGCCTACAAAATGGTTGTCACGCCTACCAACTATTTGTCAAGCCTACAAAATGGTTGTCACGCCTACCAACTATTTGTCAAACCTACAAAATGGTTGTCACGCCTACCAACTATTTGTCAAACCTACAAAATGGTTGTCACGCCTACCAACTATTTGTCAAACCTACAAAATGGTTGTCACGCCTACCAACTATTTGTCAAACCTACAAAATGGTTGTCACGCCTACTTGTCAAGCCTACAAAATGGTTGTCACGTCTAGTCTAATTGTCACAGCACTCAAACGTTTATAACCGCTGGCCTAATCACACCTCTATGAATTCTCTGAGGTGAGCGAAATTAATAAAACTATTTTAGGTGAAACGCTCCTTTGAAGTGGATATGTGTGTGTGGGTGAGGGGGGAGGGAGGGGTGATAAATGTGAGGGAGGCTGTAAGGTGGACCCTTGAGACGTGAAGATAATCCAGGTATAGGGGAAGCTGTGTGCTGTGTGTTGTGTTGTGTGTGTAGTTGTGTGGGCTGTGTGTGATGTGTGTGTTGTGTTGTGTTGTGTGGGCTGTGTGTGTTGTGTGGGCTGTGTGTTGTGTGTGTGAGTGTGTTGTGTGTGTAGTTGTGTGGGCTGTGTGTGTTGTATGTGTGTTGTGTTGTGTGGGCTGTGTGTGTTGTGTGGGCTGTGTGTTGTGTGTGTGAGTGTGTTGTGTGTGTAGTTGTGTGGGCTGTGTGTGTTGTATGTGTGTTGTGTTGTGTGTGTTGTGTGAGTTGTGTTGTGTGTAGTTGTGTGTTGTGTTGTGTGGGCTGTGTACTCTCTGTGATGTTGGTGATCTCAGACGCCTCACTTCATCTCTTAACAAATCCCACTCTACACAACAAACTCACCCTACATACCAAACCCCACCCTACACAACGAACCCCACCCTACACAACAAACCCACCCTACATAACAAATCCCACCCTACACAACAAACCCCACTTTACATCACAAACCCCACCCTACACAACGAACCCCACCCTACACAATAAACCCCACCATAACATAACAAACCCCACCCTACACAATAAACCCCACCATAACATAACAAACCCCACCCTACACAACGAACCCCAACCAACATAACAAACCCCACCGTACAAAACAAACCCCACCCTAAATAACAAACCCCACCCTAAATACCAAACCCCACCCTACATAACAACCCCACCCTACATAACAAACCCACCCTACATCTCTAAATAAACCCCACCCTACACAATAAATCCACTCTACATACCAAACCCCACCCTACATAACAAACCCACCCTACATACCAAACCCCACCCTACATAACAAACCCCACCCTACATAACAAACCCCACCCAACATATCAACCCCACCCTAGATAACAAACCCCACCCTACATAACAAACCCCACCCTACACAACAAACCCCGGCCTACATAACAAACCCCACCCTACATAACAAACCCCGCCCTACATAACAAAACCCACCCTACATAACTTCACAAACCCCACCCAATATCACTTACCAAACCCCATCCTACGTTCTTTCAAGAACTTCCGACTGTCGTCTTTCTCAAAGAGAGGCAAAGGAATGGGGTGACAGAAAAAGAGAGAAACAAAGTGAGAATGAAAACAAACAGCTTAATGAACTTACGGTTCTCAGAGAGAGACAGAAAGAGGCAGACGGACAGACAGACAGACAGACGGACGGACTGACAGAAAGGCAGAAAGGCAGACAGACAGACAGACAGACAGACAGACAGACAGACAGACAGACAGACAGACAGACAGACAGACAGACAGACAGACAGACAGACAGACAGACAGACAGACAGACAGACAGACAGACAGACAGACAGACAGACAGACAGACAGACAGACAGACAGGCAGACAGGCAGACAGGCAGACTGACAGACGGACAGACAGACAGACAGTCAGACAGACAGACGGACAAACACACAGACACACAGACAAACACACAGACAAACACACAGACACACAGACACACAGACACACACAGACAAACTCACGATTCCCAGATCCAAACTCCGACTTGAGCGCCGCCCTGACAGCTGTTGTGTATCCCAGCTGCCGACAGACCACGACGGCGTCGTTGAGATCCCATTGGCTGTCACATACCGTCCCCCACTTACCGTCGTGCATGATAACGACGGTGCCTATATAACGACGCTTGCCGCCTACCAACCGTACATCGCCGTCAACATATCCAGCCGCCCGGTCCGTCCAAAACCAGCACATTAGAAATAACGAAAAGCACCACAATAACATATTGAGCAATTTATTTTAAATTTTTTTCATAAACATATAACTGTGAAAAACAGATACATATTTTGTATATTTAAATTATCATTCACTTGTAAAATGAAAGAAACAGTAACGAAAGAAACAGCCGAGTGTTTCTTTGAGCGCAGCAGGTGTAAACACAACGCTGCATGTTGTATTGTGTGCCCGAGATTTGTATCACTTCACGGTACCTGCGCTGGTCTGGAACTGTGAAGGGGGAAAATAAAACTTGTTTTCATGAGCTAGCAGAAACTCTTTACATTTGGGGTGTGGGGGTGAGGGGGTGGAGTGTGTGGGGGGGGGGGGGCAGACGAAGTGCTCACGTGGTACGCAGGGGAAAAAAAGTTGATGTAACCTTCTGGTTGGAGAGTTCTAGGTACGCGCTCTCTGTCACGTCGCTCACGTTCGTGGCGGTGTGTCACGTGGCGGTGTGACGTTTTGGAGTGGTTTTAAAACATCATCTTTTGAAACCTCATCTTTTGAAACCTCATATTTTAAAACCTCATATTTTAAAACCTCATATTTTAAAACCTGTGTATTTAAAACCCAATCTTTCAAAACCTGTTTTTAAAACCTCATATTTTAAAACCTCATCTTTAGAAACCTGTGATTTTAAAACCTCATATTTAAAAAAAAGTGTTTTAAAACCTCATCTTTCAAAAAAGGGGTTTTTAAAACCTCATATTTTAAAACCTCATATTTAAAAACCTAGGTTTTTAAAACCTCATCTTTCAAAACATGTGTTTTTAAAACCTCATATTTTAAAACCTCATATTTTAAAACCTCATATTTAAAAACCTGGGTTTTTTAAACCTCGCATTTTAAAATCTGGAATTTTAAATCCATTGTTTTTTAAAACCCGACGTTGACCTTGATATTTACAAATAAACTTCCACAAATGTGCACGCATGCTCGTCCATGAAAATACATGTACACATTGATACGGAAACAGACAAATATAATTGCATGTACAGACATGTACACTTGTTAACGTGTACTAAAAACCTAAAGGTACACATAATCTACACACTTGTACATATAATCTACACACTTGTACATATAATCTACACACATGTACATATAATCCACACGCATGTACATATAATCTACACACATGTACATATAATATAAACACATGTACATATAATCTACACACATGTACATATAATCTACACACACCTACATATAATCTACTCACACTTACACATATGTAAACTTAAGTAGTTCTACTCAAGCGTTCTGATTCAATTGTAAACACCTTTAATCCAGAATGAAGACGATTTAAAAAAAAACAACCATCAAACTGCATTAGCAGACAATCAGCTGCCGCCCGCCGTTTTATAAATGACCCAGTCGGGGTCAGCATGACCTTATACATGTAAATATGTAAACTGTTGGTTTTTTTTTTAATTTTTTTTTAAGTTCTTATTTGCCAAGGTCGTAAAAAAAATTTTCATCATAGCACAGAAATTTGGGGAGTGGTTTATTTATTTCTTAATTTTTTTTACTCTCCGCCCGTAATAAAATAGGAACAACGGATCAAAATTCACAAAATAAAAACCAACACCATTCGCGGCTTATATAACATCTATGTCTGTACCACCACGAGTAGATAACTCGGTGAGACCATCAGATCAGAGTGAGAACCACCGAGGAATGTTCCGGTATGTGCTAATAGTTCTGGTGCACCCGGCTCATCCAACCTGAGCCAGACCGGAAGTGGCTCATTCACTCAATGCTGCACGGATGATGCACGGATACAGGGTCACCGACACAACGCCCGCGGACCCCCAAGAAAACACACCTTCGCATATGGCGCTGTTCTGATGTCAGCTGTTGGATATACACCACCGGACACACATGTTGTGTGTGGGGGGGGGGAGTGTGGGGGGAAGTGTGGAGGTGGAAATACTCAAATCGTTATCAAGTTTATCAACCGTCCGTTTCTGGCATTCCAGGGATGTTTGCATGCAGGATCCAGAGCGATGACTTGGTAGTCACGTGACCCGGATCAGCTGACGTTCTCTCCCCCACGCGAGGCCGTGATTCATGGCTATAAATAGATTTTATGGCCAAGCTCCTGTAATCGCCTAAAACGTTTGTTGTAGCAAATATGACACACGCATGCAGAGTATACTTGCTTGTTGTTGTGCATGTAATGGATCATTCAACACATATGTATATATTTAAGTACATGAAAGGTCTTTTATTGAACATATCTAAGACACTTTAGGAAAGGTCTTTTATTGAACATATCTAAGACAATTTTGGAAAGGTCTTTCGTTGGAAATATGTAAGACACTAAAGGAAAGGTCTTTTATTGAACATATCTAAGACACTAAAGGAAAGGTATTTCGTTGGAAATATCTAAGACACAAAAGGAAAGGTCTTTCGTTGGAAATATCTAAGACACAAAAGGAAAGGTCTTTCGTTGGAAATATCTAAGACACTAAAGGGAAAGGTCTTTCGTTGGAAATATATAAGACACTAAAGGAAAGGTCTTTCGTTGGAAATATATAAGACACTAAAGGAAAGGTCTTTTATTGAACATATCTAAGACACTAAAGGAAAGGTATTTCGTTGGAAATATCTAAGACACAAAAGGAAAGGTCTTTTGTTGGAAATATCTGAGACACTAAAGGAAAGGTCTTTTTTTGGAAATATCTGAGACACTAAAGGACAGGTCTTTCGTTGGAAATATCTGAGACACTAAAGGACAGGTCTTTCGTTGGAAATATCTGAGACACTAAAGGGAAAGGTCTTTCGTTGGAAATATATAAGACACTAAAGGACAGGTCTTTCGTTGGAAATATCTGAGACACTAAAGGGAATGTCTTTCGTTGGAAATATCTAAGACGCATCACGTACAGGGAAGGTCTTATATTAGAAATATCTAAGACACGTCTAAATACAGGAAAGGTCTTTCCTAGACTCGAGACACGTCTTGCCCAAGTCTAAATTTATCCAGTTCAGTATTTCCGTATATTTGTGTGTGTACACCGCCCATAGTTAAATTGTTCCCGCGTGTTGTAAATTACCTTCTCTAAACACTTTTCAAGCCTTTGATCCCCAAATGGTTGGCGGTAGAGGGCGCTGCTATTGATTGATATTTCAATCACTGGAGCTGTGGGCGGGACCGCATGAACCTTAGTGCGCCCCTCACTAGAAATATAAAACAAAATGGCCGCAAGTGTCACACACTCCCTATTTACAGAATTGTTTTTACAGTTACGAGGCGCGGCTGAAGAAACGAGAAAAAAAAAAAACTCCTGCATCAAGTTCAAGGCTGTTAAAAAGCTGCACCACCCCGCCCCCTCTCAGCATAGGCAAACCATCACGTAACAAAATCAACAAGGCTAGATCGTCTATTTTTTTTTTCTTCTGTTTATGAGGTTTGTTCAACAGATGGCGTTAACATTGAGTTGCCGAATATTTTTAGATGTCTTTTTTTTTTAACCTTTCACGTGATCTCGCGAGAAGAGAATTTGATATACAGGACACTTTGGGTCCTACAGGACTTTATGTTTGGCTCCGTAGGACTGGTACAGAAGGACCTTAAGTCATGTCCTCAGGAAATATAGTGCTTGACGTCAAGAGATACTTCCGATATTTATGTTGGTCTAAAGATTTAGGTCCTACATAGGTAGTCCTAGAGGACAATCTCTGCTCGTAGAGGACTTAACACTGACCCAACAAAACATTGTTTTAAAGGATAAGTCAAGTCTATTATGACGTGTGGTTCTGACGACTTTGTTTTCTGATCACTTGCAGATATTCACACTCTTATGTCCTCACACACCATTCTACCAACACCACACACACTAACTATCCACACACCACATACAAGCCACACATCACACAAGCCCACACACCTAATATCCTTACAATTCTGCCAACACATCTCACTACCCACACACCCCACTACCCACACACCCCACTACCCACACGCCCCACTACCCATACACCCCACTAACCACATCACTACCCAAACACACTAATACCCACACACACCACTAACCACACATCCCACTACCCACACACCCTACTAACCACATCACTACCCAAACACACTACTACCTACACACCCCACTACCCACACACTCCACTACCCACACACCCCACTACCCACACACCCCACTACCAACACCACTACCCACACACCCCACTTCCCACACCGACACACCCCGCTACACCCACCCATATACCGATACACCCCACTGCCAACGAACCACACCCCAAACATTTCCCAAACATCACCCACACATACATCACCGACTTTTTCTCCCACTTTCAAATCTTGTGACAGACAGCAACAAATGGTGTCTGCATTTCCAGGAGTTCTAGCCTGGATTCCTGACACGGTGTAGATGTCCACGAGAGCTGGGAGTTTGTTTCACCCTAGTGGTGCTCACTGGATTAACTGGTGAGATTTGTTTACACCCTAGTGGTGTTCACTGGATTAACTGGTGAGATGTGTTTACACCCTAGTGGTGTTCACTGGATTAACTGGTGAGATTTGTTTACACCCTAGTGGTACTCACTGGATTAACTGGTGAGATTTGTTTACATCCTAGTGGTGCTCACTGGATTAACTGGTGAGATTTGTTTACATCCTAGTGGTGCTCACTGGATTAACTGGTGAGATTTGTTTACACCCTAGTGGTGCTCACTGGATTAACTGGTGAGATTTGTTTACACCCTAGTGGTGCTCACTGGATTAACTGGTGAGATTTGTTTACACCCTAGTGGTGCTCACTGGATTAACTGGTGAGATTTGTTTCACCCTAGTGTTGCTCACTGGATTAACTGGTGAGATTTGTTTACACCCTGGTGGTGCTCACTGGATTAACTGGTGAGATTTGTTTACATCCTAGTGGTGCTCACTGGATTAACTGGTGAGATTTGTTTACACCCTGGTGGTGCTCACTGGATTAACTGGTGAGATTTGTTTACACCCTAGTGGTGCTCACTGGATTAACTGGTGAGATTTGTTTACACCCTAGTGGCGCTCACTGGATTAACTGGTGAGATTTGTTTACACCCTAGTGGTGCTCACTGGATTAACTGGTGAGATTTGTTTACACCCTAGTGGTGCTCACTGGATTAACTGGTGAGATTTGTTTACACCCTGGTGGTGCTCACTGGATTAACTGGTGAGATTTGTTTACACCCTAGTGGTGCTCACTGGATTAACTGGTGAGATTTGT